ACCTTACAGGGCACGTGACCTGGCATTTGAGAAATGGAGGGACCAGCCTAATAAGGGGGCAAAGGGTTTGCCCCCATCCCTTGCCACCGGCCACAGGGCCACAGGCCGACCACCCTGCTTGAGGGGGCAGCTGGGACGGTGTTTATGCAACTGCGGGAAGGCCACAGCCCGGCTGGCAGCGCTGGCCGCCCAGCCCCTGCACTGACTCAGCAGAGCCCCCAGGACGTACACACTTTGACCCGCATGCAGACACAGACATGCACACAGGTACACACCCATGTGCATATGCACAGACAAGCAGCACGCACGTATACAGGTATGCACACGGGCACTCACAGCCACACTCACACAGGCATGCTTGTGGGCACAGGCAAGCACAAACACACAGGGACACACAGAGATACACATTTCACCCAGCCAAGGTCCGGGAGGGGGGGATGCTGAGTGAGGGAAACTCTCACCCCTGCAGCTGAGTGGCTCCCCTGGATCCCCCCACCCATCCACTGTGACACTTGTACCCACAGCCAGCGGCCAGAGCTCACACAGCACAGCCATATACAAGAGGCAAAACAGGCCCAGAGGGGCAACGTGACCATGACTGGGACAGAGACACATTCCAAGGAGAGTCTCAATGAGTAGGACCCAGCTGCCCCAGCCAGAGCTTACCAAGCACAACAGCCCCAGCTGTACCACCCCAGCCACCTCCAGCCTGCCCCCCTCATCCACACAGGAAGACCGGTGTGTCTGGGCTGCAGAGTGCCTTGGGGGAGTGTGTGGGACACTCCCTTCCACTGCCAGACCAAGCAAGCTGAGTGGGGTGGTAGCTCCCAGGAACTCAGGAAGCCTGGGAGTCCTGCAGGGCCATTCTGGAAACCAGAGAGGGGCAGGCATTCTTGAGAGAGCAATATATCCCCTGGGATCCAGGGTAGACGTGAACTTGGAGGCCGGGTCACTTCTTGTCTGGAGATGAGGTGTGATCTCTGCCTGCAGAGCTCCAGCCCAGGGTGGGCATCCCCAGGAAGAAAAAGCTGACGTGTCCCAGTCCCAGTGGCCCCTGGGGACTTCGGAAAGGGAGCTCAGCCGTTCCCAGCCTTGGTGTCCGGGAGGGAGGTGGCTGGGGCAGGCATGAAGTGGGGGCTGCCCAGAAGGTATCAGCTGGTCACGGGGCTCCCTGCCCTGATTGTAGCCAACGGGAGACCCTGCTTTCCTGCGAGGGCCCTCGGCCACCAATTGTCCAGGGGGGTAGCCAGAGTACAGCAAGGTCACACGTACTCAGGAGACACCCCCACTAGCAGAGGCCACCACATACTACCCCACCAGCCAGCCAGACTTGCACTGAAACAGAGCAGGCCACCGCCCGTCACCTGCCTGGGGCTGGAGCAGACTGCGTTGAGACAAGGAAAGGAACCAGAAAGCCTCACAATCTGCCCAAGACACTGTTGAGGCTGATTTCAAAGTGACCTGCAGTCTGACTGCTTCTCATCTCTGCTGGCCACGCTTCTGCCTCTCATCTGGGTCTCTCTCCTGGACCCTTAGTCTTCCCACCCTCTTTCTGCTAGTGTCCCCAGGTCCATTCTCCACACGGTGGCCAGAGTGATACCGATAAAACGTCTCCCCGGAGCACACACCAAAGCCCTTCCCGGGGCCGCAGGCTCTCTGTTGCCTCTCTGACTCGGGCCCCGCCACTTTCCCCTTGGCGCTGTCCGCTCCCAGGTCAGGGTCTTTGTGCCCTCTGCAGGAATGTCTTCTCTTGATGCCCACGTGGCTGCCTGGAGCAGATGCTGACACGCCCCACACAAATGTTCTAGCCCACCTCGGGATAGCTGGAGAGTCTGCTTCCCTTAACCCCTCAGTAGGACAGCCAGCCATCTCCTGGAGGCCCCCAGTGGGGCTGAGCCCCCACCATCCACATGCTCTCTGCTCCCATGCACCCCAGAGAGACTTCCTTCCCTTCCAGCTGCTCTCCCATGCTCCCTGGGGTCACCTCCCAGGGACACCACTTGCATTGAGGTTCCTGTCTCAGCTGGGGAAGCTGGGGAAGCCCAGCTGAGACATCCCATCTCTCCTCTCTTGTTTTGTTTTTTTTAAGCTTATTTATTTTGGGAGAGAGAGAGAGGGAGAGAGAGAATGTGAGCAGGGGAGGGGCAGAAAGAGAGGGAAAGAGAGAATCCCAAGCAGGCTCCGTGCTGTCAGCACAGAGCCCAGGCTCACAAACCATGAGATCATAACCTAAGCCAAAATCGAGAGTGGGGCACTTAACCAACTGAGCCACCCATGTTCCCCTCTTGGGTTTTTTTCTTTACCAGCTCCCCATTCTCCTCTCCCACCAGCCCCCTGCAGCCACCATTCTACGTTCTGTCTCTATGAATTTGAGGACTCAAGGTACCTCATTCAAGTGGAATCACACAGCATTTGTCCATATCTGGCCTATTTCATTTAGCGTAACTTCTTCAGATTTCATCCATGTTGTAATAAGTGTCAGAATGTCCTCCTTTTTCAGGGCTGAATAACAGTCCACTGTGTGTATACACATTTTGTTTATCTATTCATCTGTCCACAGGTGCTGGGCTATTTCCACCTTTGGGCTATTGTGAATAATGCCTCATTGAACATTGATGTACGAGTATCTCTCCGTCCCTGCTTTCAATTCTTTTGGGTATGTACTTAGCAAGGGAATTGCTGGGATCATGTGGTAACGTTTTTAATTTTGTAATGACCCTCCGTGGCATTTTCCATGGCTGCCGAACCATTTCACATTCCCACTGACAGCACCCGCGGGTTCCGATTTCTCCACATTCTCGCCAACACTTGTTGTTTTCTGTTTCATGGGTAATAGTCCTCCTAATGGGTGTGAGGTGGTATCTCACTGCAGTTTGGATTTGCATTTCCCTAATTAGTGTTGAACATCTATTCACATGCTAATTGGCCATTTGTAGATCTTCTTTGGAGAAATATCTATTCGAGTCTTGCTCATTTAAAAAAAATTTTTTTTAGAGAGAGAAAGAGTGCTCATTCAGGGAAGAAGGGCAGAGGGAGAGAGAGAATCTTTGGGGCCCCATCCCAAGACCCTGGGATCACGACCTGAGCTGAAACCAAGAGTCAGACACTCAATCGACTGAGCCCCCCAGGGACCCCAAGTCTTGCCCATTTCTGAGTCAAGTTATTCCTCATTTTGCTGTTGAGTTGTAGAAATCCTTATATATTCTGGGTACTATCTCCTCTTTTTTTAAGTCTTTCCCCAGCTATTACCTTCTCCAATCATCACTGGCCTTGTTATTTAACATGCCAACCCCCTCCTAGCTCTTAAACACGTGAGCGTGCATGCTTGCACTCTCATTCATACACACGCACGCACATGCACACACACACACACACACTGCAAATCCTCTTCCCCACTTTGGGTCCCTCCTCAGCCTTTATCACTTGTTGACACCCTTTATGGTTAGTGACTTGTGGGGCCTCTGTGAGCTCCGTGAGGGCAGAGGTTTTGACACTTTCTCCACAACCGTGTTCCCAGGGCCTAGGCCAGAGCCTGGCAAACACTCGGTGCTCAATAAACTCTGGGAAAATGAAAGGAACATGAGCAGGGCTCCCGCACAGACACTCACCCCCTCATGCATACTGTCTCACATGCCCCGCGGGCACACTCCCCACATGCGCTCACACTCACAATCCCGTCACGCCTGCAGACAGGACCCCTCCACACCACTCCCTCAGGCAGCGACCCACACGGCCACATGCGCACCTCACAAGCTGAGGCCCTCCCATGCACAGGAGGCCATGGGAATGCACCCTGACGGAGCTGCCCTGACCTCCTGGGTCCTCCTGGCCTGCGGGCTGTTTCCAACCCTGTGTGGCCCACTCCCCACTCTGACCCTTGATCTCCCCCACACCCCTGATCTCTAGGGCCCCCAGCCTCTCTGCAGGGCATTGCTTTTCCTCCCTATCAAAACCAGATGGATCGCCTCCTCCAAGTCCCCCCTCACTCTCCCCACTGAGCTCCAAGGGGAGGGGAGGGGCCCTGGCCCCAAGCAGAGTGTGGGCAACGGACATGGTTTGCAGGCTGCGTATGTACCTCCCCCAGTCCCATTGCAGGGACTGCGCAGTTTGCTGTGAGAAGCCCTGGGCTGGGCAACCCTCTGGGGACCCCAGATACTTCCCCAGTAAGGCCTCTTCCCTTGGCCTACAGCCACACCACAGGCAGAGTGCCTCAGTTTCCCCATCTGAGTCAGGCAGGGGTCTAAGGCCCCTTCCATTCTGATAGCCTGGGGACAAAGTTAGCTCCTGGCCTGCTATTCATACCCAATGAGACTCAGTGTGACTTTGCTCTGGGCCTCAGTTCCCCCACCTGCAACATGGGAGGCCCTGGGCCAATGCCCCACGGGTCCCTGATTACTGGTGGTGGATGGAGACAGTTCAGACACCCCCTGGCATCCCTGTGTTGGGGGCCACAGCACATCTGCTGCCTCCAGGGGGAGGAGGGGAGGACAAGAGCAAGGGAGGGGCACCCAGACCCTCCCAGCTCAGCCCTGCTCCTACCCCGCGTCCTGGTGCACAGGCGCAGAGGGTTCAGCAGGGGGATGGGGTGGTTTGAAGGGGAGCAAGGAGGCCAGATCTCAGCATGACTCGCCTCATTTTGTCCAGGGCTCACCATGTGGGGCTCACACATATTACCAAAGGGCCACAGAGGGGAAAGAAAAGAGGGAGAGAGGGGCACCTGGGTGGCTCAGTCAGTTAAGCGTCCGACTTCGGCTCAGGTCATGATCTCACAGTTAGTGGGTTCGAGCCCCGCGTCGGGCTCTGTGCTAACAGCTAGCTCAGAGCCTGGAGCCCGTTTCAGATTCTGTGTCTCCCTCTCTCTCTGACCCTCCCCTGCTCACGCTGTCTCTCTCTCTCCTCTCTCTTTCTCTCTCTCTCAGAAATAAATAAAAAACGTTAAAGAAAAGAAAAGAGAGAGAGAGGGAAGGAAGGAATGAAGGAATGAATGAATGAGGAAGAAAGGAAGGACAAAAGCCCTTTATTCATGAGGCCCCGGGATGAGGACAGAGATGCACAGGGAGATGACGGGCAGGGCTGTCTGCGGCTGTCTGCACGGTGGTGCTGAGGTTGCTGATGTAGGAGCCTCGATGCGCTCCCTGCTCCCCGCAACTCCAAGCCCCTGATGTCAGCATCAGAGGGGGGCTGAGCGTCTCTGGTGTGTCCTCCCGGGCTCCCTGAGAGCAAAGGTGGTCACAGGTTACAGGGGATGGGGCGGAGCGAGGCAGCAGGATGCCAACTGAGAACTGGGATTGGTGGGGACGGGGGTGGGGGGGGGCGCGGCTGGGGGGGCCGACAAGGGATCCAGATGAAAGTGGCGTGAGGCCATCTCCGCTAAGAGCAGCAGAGGCAGCAGCTGGCATGGAAAGAAGTGGGGGTCTCACCTGGGATGGGAGGCTCAGCTGGCCATGATGTGCTTCACGAATGCTGGAAAGAAGGGGCAGTGAGTGGCTCAAGCACTGGGTAGCCAAGGGCAGGAGCCTAGGGCTCCGGTCCTCCCGCCGCCCCCCACCAGCTCCTGGCCTGCTGAGCGCACCTTCGTAGTTGATGCAGCCGTTGGAGTCTTCCTGCCCCGCCATCAGCTTCTCCACCTCATCTTCGGTCAGCCTCTCACCTGGAAGGGCGGGAGGCTGAGTCAGCACCACCGGAAGGCACGAAGGGTGGGGGGCCACTGAGCCCCTCTGGGTGGTGGGTCTGCCTCCCTAGCGTTCCCACACCTCACTTTGGCACGGCCATCCTGGCTCACAAGGCCTCAGCCGTCACCCCCATTTCTGAGACCAGGAGAATCAGCTACAAGTCAGAAAGGGTGCGGCCTGGGGTGCAGGCCCGGCGCCCCCTCCAAGCCTGGGCTCTGTCCACAACAGGAGCCGGCTCGGTGTTCGAGTCTCAGCTCACACCATCCTCTTTTGTTCACGGGCTGCTGGGGGCTCCTCCCATCACCAGGAGGCCAGCCCCACTGTGTCCCTGAAAGCAGCTCCTTGGGGCAGCCTTTTGAGGCTCGAGAAGGGCCCATGGGGTGAAGCTGAGGGCCTTGAGGAGTGATGGTGGAGGAGACCAAGAGACAACATCTATGTTCTCCAGACAGGTCTGCCACGTTCCCTCCTCTGGCGTTGGTGTGCTGTGCGGGTCCCCTCACTGCAACGGGGGGCGACCTCCTACCCCCAGCCACACACACAGCCCGAGACCAGCACAGGGCTAAGCAGGCAGTAGTCGTTCAGTCAATGTTTTGTACAGGGAAAAGCTGCTTTGAGTCGGCATAGTAGGTGCTCAATAAACATTTGCTGTGTAATAAAGCTACTTTGAGAAGGGGGTGCCCCTGCCAGCCAGATGAGGGGGTCCAGGTGTCCAAGAGGCAGGTACCTAACCTATTGGGCCACTTAGTTCCTGTGTCCCTGGAATGTGACCTAGAGACAACGAACATGGGGACAGAGCTGACCCCACTGGCTATGCCACAGTGCCCTACACTGTCCTCAGAGCTGTCCTCCCCGCCGCCTGGGGTTCTGTGAGCTGCACCCTCACATTTCCTTCTTCCCTATCGAAGTCTCTAAACTCCCCACATTGCTTGTCGCCGGCCACAGAGGCTCCCTGACTGTGTCACTCTCTCCATTTCAGAGATGAGGCACCGGCTCAGCAGGGGAGGGAGTGGTTTCTCCCAGGATGCCCCCCGAGGGAGGGGTGGGGGTGAGGAGGCCGCGACCCTCACCTAGAGTGGCCAGCACGTGGCGGAGCTCCGCACCCATGACAGTGCCGTTGCCCTCTTTGTCAAAGACCCGCAGCCCCTCCACAAAGTCCTCGTAGGTGCCTGTGTCCTTGTTCTTGGAAATGTGCTGGAGCATGGGCAGGAACGTGTCGAAGTCCATCATCTTGGTGTTGAGCTCTGTGGAGAGATGGTCCTTGGTCCCTCGCTCTGAGGGGCGGGATGGGCACCCCCTTCCGCTGGGCCTTACAGTGAAGGGCTGTCGCCCTCACAAGGTCCCAAAGCCCTCTAGCCATTTACAAGGCACTTCACCAGCACGAGGCACTTTACAGCCAAAATGCATTGTTTACGCAATCCATTGCTGTGCACAGGACACTTTGCTGCCAAGGCGCCACAGCGGGCTCTGTCTTGCACCTCTGCTCTCCTTTGGGTGAACCACCCTAGATAGTGCCATTTTCTTATAGACCCCACCCTCCCCACAACCTGTGATTGGCCAGGAGCAGTGGGGCCAATCAGAGACCTTCCCTGGGACTTTGAACCTGGGGAGAGGGCTGAAGTCTCCCTCTGCCTTGGGGCAAAGTAGGCAAACCTCTCTGGCAAAAGTGGTGAGGGAATCTGGGGCCCTGAGCCCGAGAGAGACACGGAGGAGACAAGGAAAGGGCACTGAGCATAGGGTGGCCAGGGCTGGGTGCCCCCCGCCCTCCCAGCAGCCGCCTTAGCCCATTTGCACCGTCAGTTTCCTGTGAGCAGCAGGCCCGGCGAATCAGCAGGGGGCCAGATGGTCCAGCAGACTCACTGCTGGTTGCCCTGTCAGCCTGAGACCAGCCTCAGTGTCCTCATCCAGACAATGGGAAGATGTCAGGAGAGCGCAGAGCAGGGGGCTTCCCGTGTCGTCCCACCACAGGTGGCCCACCCTGGTGGTCTCCCCAGCTTGGCGCCAACGTAAACCAACCTTCCTGCTTCGGTCTCCCGAGGACACGGAGCACCTCGGCCTGTGTAGGGTTCTGGCCTAGCGCCCGCAGGACGTCCCCGCACTGCCCGTACGTGATCTTCATCTCACACTTGGGTGTGCGGTCGAACAGCATGAAGGCTTCCTTGAACTCTGCCAGGAGAGGCGGTGAACTGTGGACACCCCCAGTGTCAGCCCACCCCGCTCACGCCACACTGGCAGGACTCTCAGGCTGGGGACCCTGGGCCCCACCCTGCAGCCCGTGGGCTCCAGAGCCTCACTCACCTTCAATCTGCTCCGGTGTAAACTCGATCTGAAAGGAGACCCCAGAGGTTCTGAGTGCCTGGCCTGGTCCAGAGGGTGGGCCCAGGCCTCAGCCTGGCTGCCCCAACTTGTCCCCATTCCAGCACCCACGACCTCCTGCCATCTCCCCTGACACCCTCCTGCCTCCTGCCCCCTCCCGACCTGTTAGAACGAGGGCCCTGGGTCTGCATGTGCCCAGACCCTGATGGCCGGTGGGCCGCATCTAGGGAAGAGATGAGAAGGCGGGCCTGGTGCCCCGAGTCCCCAGCTCAGTGTAGGCCTTACCTGTCACCCCCGGTCCTGGACAGAGGTGTCTGAAGCCACAAGATCTGACAAGACTGGCTTTGCCCCCCACCCCCAGCAGGCCTGGGGCCCAGCGGGTGGGACCATGCACACGAGAGAGATGGGTGGCCTCACCTCCTTGGGGAGGGCTCCTGGAGGGGGAAGGGGGAGGCTACGGGCCAGATGGTTTCTGTCAGCATGAGAGCATATCCACAGGACCGCGTGCACGTGTGTGTGTGAGATGGACGTGTGTGCAATCACACACACGTGTGTGTGTGCTGGGCACCGTCACCCACATGGTCCGTGAGCCTGAGGCTACCCCCACCGCAGCGCAGCATGGGGGTCAGGGGGGTGTGGGTGAGTCTTTGCTGAGGCTGCACCAGAGCCACCTGAGGTCAGGAGGCCTCCTGGGACCTGGTTTCCCCCTCCTCACTAGATATCAGGTCTATTTTTATCGCAGCAGTCACTCACCCCAAGGTCAAGGTTGCAGGAGGGAAAGGAACTTGGGAGAGGGGGCGTGCCTGGCACCTCTCCCACTGCTGCTCCCTGGGAGTCCCACTGACCTCCGCCTCCACGGCACACATCAGCGCAGAGGAACCCTGCCCCCTTGTCACGCCTGTCCCCACCCAGTGCTGAGAACAGTTGTTCCCAGCCCCTTGAGCTCTCACCACCAGGAAGCCTGCTGAGATTAGGCTCCCTGGCCTCCTGGCAAAGCCTCCCGCCTTTCACTGGCCAGCCCAAGGGGCTTCCCTATAGCTGCCTCTCGGAGGGGAGTCTGTGCCCGCCTCAGATCCTGGGACACTGGACAATGCCACACAGGGCCTGGGGTGGTCGGACCTCAGCAAGGGACCTGCCAGACACAAGTTTGGACCCAAGGGTGGCTGGGGCTCAGGGAGCCGACTCCGAAGAGCACTTTCTGTGAATAGTTCCCAGTAGCCTGCAAGGAAGGTTTATTATACCATTTCACATCTGAGGAGACCAAGCCCCAGAGTGAACAGGACGGAGCAAAGGTGGGATTTGAACCCGTGTCTTGAGGGACAAGGTAGGCACCTCCAGGAAGGGCTCACGCACAGGAGATAGTTCCGTGCAGTTGGGCCGCAGGTCTGGCCGGACATGCAGGAGCCGTGAAGGTCTGGGAGGGCTCCACAGGGACCCCACCAGCAGCCAGGGCAGCAGTGTCCGGTGGCCAGCCAAGAACAGGGCACAGGCAGGACACAGGGTACGTGCCACTATGCAAATACCACAGGTGGGAGTCATGGCTCTCCCTCCAAGTTTAGACTCTGAGAAAGACTTCCTAACTGGGGAAAGAAGCTTTGGCTCCACTGGTCACAGCTCCAAGACCAATTTCCTACATGATCTACTCAGCCCATGCCTCAACTTCCCCACCTAAAAGCTGAGGCTCGACTAATTCTGGGGCTCGGCCACTCTGGTAGGGGTGAGTGTGACCCAGCCTGGGCAGGGGCGTCACTTCCTCACACTCTCCACCCAGGGCCCCCGGGGGACTTGGCGTGGAAGTGAGACCCCCCACTGCTGGACGAGGAAGATCTCTACTTGGCCACAGAGGTTGGGGTCCAGGGGGCTCCGGGATTCCCCAAGGATGTGAGGTCCAGGAAGAAGGGCAAGAGACAGTTTCCAAAACCACCAAAGACTTGCCCTTGGGCAGCTCTGGGGGAGTCCTGCCTGCACAGTCCTCCTGAAGCCTGAAAGCCCCCAGGGCTGGCCTGACCTCTGCGTGGAGACTTCCAGCCTCAGCTCAGCGCTCACCTTCTAGAGTCTGGCCTGACACTGAGTAGCCCACTCTGGGATCCACTGATGTGCCCTGTCCTTCCTGCTGCAACTCAGCTCCCGCACCCACCTTGATTTTGGAGGCATCAAATTCTACTTCCTTGGGGGGCTCGGGCGCAGGTGCGGGCGCTGGCGCGGGCGCGGGCGCGGGCGCGGGAGCCGCCTTGGCGGCTTTGGCATCGTCCTTCTTGGGGTCTGGCTTTTTGGGGGCCATGGGAGCTGTAAGCACAGAGAGGGATGTGGAAAGAAGGAAAGTAGAGAGCAGGGTAGGTGAGGCTCCCAGGCCTGGCCTTTATCCTGTCCAGACACCTCCTGACCCCAGCCCCCCTCCCTGCAGTGCACAATAGGGACAGGGCCATAAAAGGACAATTGGCTAAGCTCAGGGGCTATTTTGGGGCCTGGGGAGGGCATTGTTCGGGCTCAGGAATGGGTGGGGGAGAGGGAGGGCTCTCCATTCCTCCCAATCACCTGTTGGGGAGAGGGAGGGGGAGGGGAGGAGAGGACAGAAGCCACTGCTTAGCACATACTCTCCCTCCAATGCACAAGCACTATAGGCACAGCAGCCCTGAGGCCCCTCAGCCAGTCAGTAAACCACACAGGACCCGAAGTCTGGACCAAGTGCGTGTTGTGTTGGGAACAGAAGGGTTGTGATGGCCTAAGGGCGCCTCTTAAGTTCCGTGTCCCATCTGCTCATCAAATTCCCATGCGTGAGCACGCGCGCACGTGTGTGGCTGTTTGTGTCTGTCTGTCTGTCTGTCTGTCTGTCTGTCTGTGGTGGTGGGAGCCGTGTATCTGTGTGTGTTGTCTAGGTGTCTTCATGTTGGGGGGGGGGGGTCCTAGTGTGCACCGTCTGCATCTGCGTGGGGAATAACCTGGGCTGGTCTCCGTGTTGGCTCTGCGGGTCTGTGTCCGCGTGTTTATACGTACGCACATGTCTGCGTGTATCTCTGTGAGTGTGTCTGTGAGTGTTGCTTCCTTGTGTTTGTGTCTGGGTGTTCGTAAGCATCTGTGTGTGAGTGTCTGCTCAAGGCTCGCCAGCAGCTGCAGCCCCAGCCAGGGGGTCTCCAGGAACGCCCCAAATGGCAGTGGAATGGGTGCTGCTCCCTTGAGCACCAATCAGCAGCCCAGCAGCCCCCACAGCCTCCTCATCAGCACCCGGCTGGCCCTGCGGCTTGCTTCTCTGTTTCACCTCACTTCCCATCTCCTCTCCCCCCATCGCCCACTTTACGCCTCTGAGGGATCCCAGGTAGCTCAGAGACATTTGCCCCCTGGTGCCCACCCCATATCCAGGTCTCAGGAGAGGGCAGCCTGGCCGGGCCACCACTTGGGAAAGCAGGGGGCGGGGTGGTGGAGGAGTGGGGGAAGGCTGAGGTGGCATGAGGCCCCTCTGGGAACAGAACTCTGAGAGTGGGGACAGCTTGCAAGCACATTGGGCCCCCTTCCTCTGTGTGTGCCGGGACGGGGGGTGGGGGGAAGGAGGTGCTCCTTGTTATTTTTAGGTGCCTGGAGCCTTTGATAGAAACTTCAGAGGCAGTGCTTCACCCCTCCACACCCCCCAGTGAATTCTTGGGGCCAGGGCCAGGGGGAAGGATTCATAGGGACCTCCACCTGGGGTCCCCCCTCGTCTACCTGCTGAGCCCAGGTCGCTCTGATCCTGTCACTCGTCCTCATGGGGAGGGGGAGAGCAGTGGAGAGATGGGGCCGGGTCCCCCCCTAGCTGGAACACAGGAAATTCCTCCCCTCATCTGGAGGACAGAACACCCCACATCTGGAAATCTGACAACATCCGGTGCTGGGGAGGGGGGGCAGGTTTTTCACTTTCCTTCCAGATGTTTGGCAAAAGTATTGAGGAAAAAAAGGGGTGGGGGGAGGGCCCACAGAGACGAGCCAGAAATACCACAAGAGAAGACAGGCAGAGGAGGACACACAGAGAGAAAGGCCCCTGGGCGGCCCCACTGCCCAGGCCTGCTGGCCCTCAGGACAACTGACTCTGGATGTCCTGGGGGGCGCCAGGCACCCACAGGCACAGCCAGTGAGACACCACCCAGTCCCCTTTCATTTGTCATGGGTGAAACGGAGGCCCAGGGGAGGGGACACACTCAGGGTCACCCAGGCTTCTGATCGCATTCCTTTCATCCACACATAACTGCCTTCCCTCAGGAACCGCTCAACACCAGCCTGAACAGGGGTAGGTGGCGACGTGGGGCTCTGGAGCCTCAGCTGCCAGGTCTGGGCTAGAGGGTGGGGCCGGCTCGTGCAGCCAGCCGGAGCCACACTGCGCCGCCCCCTCCTCTGCCTGGAAGAACGTGGGCGGGGTGGGGGGTCTCTGTCCCCTTACCTCATGCACAGGGCAGATGCGGCCCTGCACTGGGGACATTGTGCACAGAGCCATCTTCACTCCCTCCCAAGGGCTCAGATGGAGGCAGGGGCCGGGTTCCTGGGAGCAAAGTCACCCCAGGGCTCACCCTGTGGGACCTCTCTCAGCCTCAAATCAATGCCCAGCCCCCAGCACGGGCTGTGCAGGGATCAGCCCCCTCTATTGCCAGAAGGGTAGGCTGTTGAGACCAGAAGCAAGACAAGGAGTGGGCTGGTGGGCAGGCAGGTGAGCAGGGGACAGGGCATTGTAACAAGGAGAGTCAGGCAGGTGGAAGAGAGAGGGGCAGACAGTGGGTAGTAAGGACAGGCCACACTATGGCTTGGCTCTCATCTCTCTCCCAGGTCCCAGCCTGAGCTCTGTGTCCCTCAGGAACGACAGCCTGCAGGCAAGATCCTGGCAGAGCCTGTGGGGTCTGGAGAGCCTGGCTCTTACCCCTCCCCACTCCAGCGTCTCCAGCCCCAGGGTCTGCCTGGTGACCCAGTCTGATGCAGACTCACAAGTACCACATTCCAGAGACTTCTCGGGGGCAGCTACCTCCCCCACCCCCTCCAGCCAAGGGGAATGCTGGGGAAGGCGCTGGCCCTAACTTCTGAGGGGCCCATGGATAGAGACAGAAAACCTCTGGCCACACTGGCCTCTTTCTCGGTTATTTCCAGCCCCCATACCTTCGCAGAGGCTGTTTCATCCTCTTGGCTGGGACCCTAGCCATGACTTGCTCCTGGTCAACCCCTGATCTCATGTCAGCTGGCACGGAGGAATTTTTGTTCTTCCACATCTGTGTGGAAGAGTCTACGACAGAGCCTGGTACACAGTAAGCACTCAATAAGTGTCAGATGAGCAAATGTCCCAAAACATCTCAATTTTACCCATTTCTCACAGGGGGACTGGGGCCTATTGCCAAACTCCACCCATGGGGTGGAGTCAGGGGAGACTGGGGAGGGGGGGATTGCTGGAAGGCTGGCAAGAGCCTAGGTCGCTGCAAGGGGCCCCCAGGACAGGAGTATAGCCAGCAACTGCTGCCACCTCAGCCCGTCTGCCACTCCCACCCGCTGGCTGACACTCGCCTCACTAGCCTGAAGAAACAGGGTGATCCTGTGCTATAGGCAGTGACTTGACCATGAAGACCAGCCAGCAGGGGGCGTAAAAGGGACAGAAACCAGCCAAACTCCAGGACTCAGGATCCCAACCCAGAACCCAGACTCCAGACCTGGAGCCTGGAGCCCCAAACCCCATCTCCAGACTCAGGTCTCAGGATCTGAACCCCAAGCCTAGAACCTGGAACCCAGAGCCCAGGACCTGACCCCACACTCTGGAGACCCAGGCTTTAAAACCCAGGATGCCAAACCCACACCCTCAATTCAGACTCCAAATCCAAGACCCCAGGCCGAGGGCCAGGACTCTCACCCTGGAGTCCAGACCCAGGACTCAAGACCCAGGACCCAAGACTGTAATCTCAGACCCCGGACCCAGGACCCAAGACAGGGGCTTGCTGGTTCTCCAGACTGGCACTGCCTACAGCTCTGAGTAGAGAAGGGCGAGGAATGGGGGAGTGTAAATGCTTGGCAAACGGTGGGGGTGCTTGGCAGACCTTCCTGGTAGTGTTCAGAGGGGCATGAGGAATGTCCCTCATCCTGTCAGAGCCAAGTGGGGGAGCTCAGAATATGGTGGCCACGTGGGGTGTGGGGGGGTGGAGGCTGATGGGAGAGAGGGATGGACAAGGCCTGGCTGTCCTTTGGGCTCAGGAGCCAGAGGCAGGGAAGGAGGGTCGGGCTCCTGTCCCCCTGGCCGCAGGCTCCGCAGGCCGCCCTGGCCCGCCCCAGCCCGCCCCTCCTGGCCCGAGGCCTCTGGGCTGGGACGCAGGCCCACACTTCCCGGAGGAGTCGAGAACGCGGCCTGGGCCAGACCCAGAGCCTTAGAAGTAGGTCAAATGTTGGTGTGCAGCAGGTCCTGGGGACCCCGTCCAGGCATGGGCAGGCCCACGGGCGGCAGCTCTCCCGCCAGGGCACCCGTGTGTCCACATAGACGCAAACCCACCACCATACATTGGGCGCCCATGAGCACAGACCCCACACGGGGCCCCCAGTCCCTGCCCAGCTGCACAGATGGGGGCACTGACCACCCCCCCCCCGTAAGGGGCAGCAGCTGCCCGGCAACTCTGGCCAGAGCTGGCACGAGGCAGCCACGAGGACCAGGAGGGCAGGAATTTCTGCAGCATCCCATGGCCCTGGAGCCTTGGGTGAAAGTCTGACTCCAAAGAGGACTTCCCAGCAGGGCTGCTATGCCACCAACAGGATGTGGCCTGCTTCTCGGAGCATAGCCCCAGGCCTTGAAAAATGGGAAGGCGTGGCCAAGGGGGAGGCAGTAGACTCCTTGTGACCCATGCTGGTCTTGGCTTCTCTAGGCCTAGGTTTCCCCATCTGTACAGTGGCCACGGTGGGGCGAGGTGACAGTCACTGCCCCAGAGTCCCAGCCCATCCTCGCCACCCCCACACCACACACAGACAACTCTGTCCTCGGCAGGCCAAACACAACCCTCAGGCCCCTCCCTCTGCCCACTGTGCTGACGGGGACCAGATGCTCCAACCTTGTGGTTCTGGGGTGGGGGTGGCAGGACCCAGCGGGCTGGCAGGCAAGCCCTAGGTTTGGCCCAGGGACCTATAATCAGCCCCTGCCCCTCTGATCCCTGCCCAGGACTGACGCTTGGGGCTGTGGTGTCCTGGCCGGCTGTGGCCACGGCCGCTATATTTGGGAGCCCAATTGAGCATGAGGGAGGGGTGGGCAGGCAGGAGCCTCCAGGGACCAGCGCCTCGTGGGAGGACAGCCTGGGGGACTGTTGG